AGAGAGAGAGAGAGATTTACTTGAGAAGACTCAAAATTAAGATAAAACAGATCCAAAAATATGAATTCTTTCTCAATACCACTGCAACTTGCCCCAAAACTTTTGTAAGTATCAACATTCCACTATACAAATGAGGGAATACTTTTAACTTTTTGGAAAATTTATCAAAATCCACCTTCAACTCTTTATCATTTTAACCTTTTTCAGTTATTCCAACACATTATCATCTGTATTTTGATGGGCTATTGGAAATTAAATCACAAGAAATGGGTAAAATGTTAAATGGTTCATCTTCCAGATGCAGTTTTATATAAATTTCCCTAAATGTTTTTATCAATAAAGCCAAAATACCAACTCTTTGCTCCTGCAAAGCGCCACAACTTCATAAAGAATATAATGAAACTGAAAAAGAAAGGGGAAATTATCGCTTCCAAGAAAGCAAGGTAACTTCTTCAGTATTGATATTGAAAAATTACCGATTCAGGTCAGTTAGATCAAGAACCAGAATCACCTTCCTACCCACACTGCACCCAATGAAAGACAGCCGTAGCTCAAGCCGACCAGCTGGAAAATGCAGGTTAGCGTGCATAAGATAAACAAGAAGACATGATCAATACAAAGTGCACAAAGGAAATTACCATAGCAAACCTGAATAATTCCCAAAAGGAAATTACAATAAGAAGTGTACCACCCTTATCCTTTTTTTTTGGGTAAATATGCACAAAAGCATGTGTAAATCGCAGGCACATACAAGAGCATAAAGGTATGCATTCAGTGCAAAACGGCAGCATATACTAACGTGGACATACCACACAAATTGGGAGATTCCGTTCAGATAAACTAATCAAACACCACACCCACTAAATGTTGACCATAAGATAAAGTGATAAACTACCAGAAAATAAGATTTTGCTATGGATCTCACATTTCTTTATGCTTCCTTTTGAAGCGGAAAAGTGTTTGGTGAGTTGGCCGACTCTCACTATTCTTGTAGAGTCCCCCCACAAAATATATCTCCAAGATGTATTTTCAATCCAAAATTTTAGGGTTCAATAATCTCAACTATGACATTGATCTAAATTTGGAATTATTTTTTTTTAATATAAATGTTATTTTTGAATTCCTCTCTTCACTGTCCATTTTAACTTTTACTGGATGTAACACTTTCTGAAATCCATCTTAGAGATGGATGTTAGATAAACAAGAGACCGCATGGTAATAGGTAAGTCAGCTGACTCACCAAAACCGTGGCCTTTGAAGAATACTAATTTGATTAAGAGAGCCAGGAACAATTACGATATCCCAATAAAAAATGGGTAAAAGGAAATTTCTCCGAACTCCCAAAATCAATGAAAAGTTTATCCCACATGAAGGAAATACAGCCAGCATACTTTGTCGTGGTTGAAAGCACGGGAGCATCACATTTAAGAGCTCCAAATGTGCCATTTGCAATTCTGAAAGCACATCCAATAGATTGCCTAAAAGAAAGGACGTGACCTGCATACGATGAAGTAAAAACAGAAATAAATCACAAAACTTATTTGGATAGGTATGCACATCACAGTGGTGTCGCTATAACATCAAATTATATTTCAATTAATAGTAAATGGTAAAAGTTATTATCATCAAATAATCTTAGAAATTATGATAAATAAATAAACAAATAATAAATAACCAAAGAGAATATTTCGGCTAAGAATCATCATCATGGTAAGCCTCTTCTTGCATCCAAGTGAACTAGTTGTTCATCAGAGGTAACCCAATGATTCATTATTGACCTTTGCATAAATGTAAAGCTCAAGAAATTGCAAGACACTGAAATATCAACAGAAGTGGCATATCCTGAGATGCCGGGGCCCCAAAAGTCACAGTAGCCACATTTCCTTGGCTACTTCCCGAGAGATTAAGCCCCCAATAATATTCATTGGACCCAATAGTCTGAAAGTCAATTCTTGTTAACTTGGGATTCCTCAGTATTACATGAAATTTGCTCAACAATTCCTTAGTTATTCCTTAATATGATTCAAATTTCTCATAAAGAAGGGAAAAAAGGAAAGAAAATTCATAAGCAGAACAGTTCTTCAGAAAGCAACACTATACAGGTCCAACACTAAAAAAAGAAAGGAATCAAAGAACAAGAAAAGTAGCATAGATGATAATCAACAGACCAAATCTACCTGTGACTCAACCTGGATTCCTCTTGTGCTAGAAAGCTTGCGACTCCTATCATCACTAAAGACAAACTTAAAGGCTGTACATGCGTTTATATTCGGGAAAATCTGTTCAGAAGAAGAAAAAAAAATATTTATAGAACACCAAGCAAACAATAATATTTTTAGAACATCAACAAACAACAGAATAAATATTTCAAAAAAAGATTTAAAACACCAATATTTTTAGAAAATCAAGCAAGCAACAAATGAATATTCCCAGAAACTTTTGAACATCAAGCAAACAATAAAATGCAAGGCTGATGCCTAAATGCAATCTGAATACCTTCCCAATGTTCTCCTCATTCAACAAATTAGAAACGTCAACACTTGAAGCAGGAATGTGAGCATCCAACTTATACCTGTGAATCAACGCAGTTTTAATAAATAATATAATCTTCTTCTTTTTTGGGGGTAAATGAGAAGTCAAAACTTTATGACATTAGCAACGTCAGCAAGTTTGACAGAATCACAAAAATCAACAACCTCTGACAAAGAAAATTGCCGTAGTTGAGGGCCACATGAAGATCACCATGCTTTTCCTTAACAACCTTCAAGTCCCATAGCTGATGACAAGCCCACCAACAAAATTAACACTTAGCTAGAGAACGTCAAATCTTTACTAAGCAAATCCAGAAGTGAAGAAGAGATGGAAAGACCTGTAAAGTATGGCAAATAATCGTGCAGCAAGCCTTCTTATGAACAAAATCTTTTGATAACATTATAGTCTCATCAGCATTTGGGTGACCTTTCAGCTTACAGGATGAATGTAAGGATTCAACCAATTTCTTCACCTTCTGATCCAGCAACCCAAGCTCCCGCCTCATCATCACTGCCTGAAAAGCAATGAACCAACAAAGAACATCAATATATGCATCAAATATCATCAGATACAAGCTCTTGAGCTAGAAGATAAAGGGAATCGAATCCCTCCATAAAAGGACCATGCATTTCAATTACAAAAGAAGCATCAAAACTTAACCTGAAACTACAATTGGTGCTTGAATCCTTAAAAGGAGGCAATATATCAAACAAAGATAAATAATAAACAAGACCCTTAACAGACATTCTTGAAATTCATGTTCATCCAATCCTTAACATCAAAAATATGCATCAAATATCATCAGATACAGGCTCTTGAGCTAGAAGATTATAAAGGGAAGCGAATCCTTACATAAAAGGACCACCCGTTTCAATTAGAAAAAACTACAATTAGTGTTTCAATCCTTAAAAGGGGGAAACATATCAAAAGAAGACAAACAATAAACAAGACTCTGAACAGACATTCATGAGATTCATGTTCATCCAATTCTGTGGCTATCTAGTGCTCGGTTTGTATGATTAACAGGCAGCTGAGCCAGACAGGATTAAGCAAGGGTATTCAAAAATCAATATCATGAGATATACAGGTCGAGGGAGGTGAAGGATTCCTACCAAGGCTGAAATCACACCCAAGGCAAGACCTACATTATGTTGAAAGCACTTTCTCCCAGCTTTAGTAGTTAAGGGAGAACTCTATTGATTGTGGTTATGTTTAACTCCAATATGCACAACAAAAGCCAAACAGTTGGCCAACCATGTCCACAAAAGCCTTCTCAAATCTATGCAATTATGATAGAGTTCTTTTTGTAGGTGGCTCTCGAATGTTTTGCAAGCTTACCAGGACAAAGGAATGGGCGTTGAAAGGAACATTTCCAGGTCAGATTGGATTGCTGCTTAAGGTTCGAGAGACGAGAGTTTTCCCTCTATCATCTTCTATCTGGTAGAGCTATAGGAAAGTACACGTAATTTTTCTATATACTTCTTCTAGCTATACGTAAAGGGAGCTAGCATAATTATAGGTAACTATAGGAAAGATATGGGTAGGCAAGTAGCGATAGGTAGGCAAGTCAGACGCATGAGAAATTAGATCGTCCAATAAAGTTCCAATTGAGGCATGCTACAAGCTTACAAGTTAGAATTGTTTGGCTCCCATAAAATACATTGTAACCACACAGGACCAAGAACATGCACAGCAAATAAATAACACGACAACAACAAGAGATAGCAACCAAGAGAGAACCTTACCAGATGGAGCACGTGATACAAGTGCCTCTATAACTTTTGGAGAAGAGGATTTACCTGATCGCTAGAATACTCATCTGAAACGGGACAAATCTGCAGTTTGTTGCTTTGAGAATCCTTTAAACCAGATGCATGTTGATGGGACAAACAACTAGATTTCAGTTTGCCGCACTCCTGCATGCCTGATTGCAACTGCTGGACCTTTGCCTGCAATTCAGATGATTAAATTGGTCAGAGAGATTTGATAACAACTAACATAATTCCACCAAGAAAGCAGTGCAACAGAACTTACGAGCAAATAGTCCCTCTTCATATGCATCAACTGCAACTTTGCTTGCTCGTACAAAATAGACTGCAGCAACTGTCGCGTGGTTTTCTCCTCCAATAATCTAAAACAGCATCCCATGTAAAAACATTCATCTTAAGCAGCTTGCATCTCCATTTGTATCTGACAAAGAATTTATCCATGCATAATAAACTTCAAAGGGTTCAGGAGTATATGGCCCATCATCCATGGGGCTGGTTTTAGAATTTTACCTTTGGGGCTGTACATTACATACTCGACCCAGCATTTTCTGTGGAACAACAAAAAAAGATAATATAGAAAGCAAGTCATATGATGTTTTCCATTCACATTCAGAAAAAATATCACCTGCAAACACAATACAGGATAGACCAATAGTACTCAAGAGGAGCAAAGGCACTCGTATGAACAAACCTGGGACTGAATCTCATTACAAAGATGCCTATACTCCATAATCTTCTTCAATTGATCCAGCATTTCTTGCAGAATGCAAAGCTACAAAAAAACAGTAGGTACAGAAAATGACAAACTTCCTTGAATACACTGGCAAATCCAACAAGCATGATATAATATACAAAATCTAATAGTACATTATAAAACATTGAAAATAATATTAGGACCATGAACATGATGATCACTACATCACGACAAAAATCCTTGAGCACAATGGTGATTCCAACAAGGAGTTTATAATATACAAAACTTTGATACCAGAAATACTGACAAAATACAGCTTAAATATCAAGGCCAGGAAAATGATGATCACTACACTCATTATAGAGAAAGGAATTCAAATTGACAAATTTAGAATTCAGTAACAAACAAAATTCAAGTAAATGCAACTCTGTTTTGATAGGAATCATAAAGAATAAATTTACCTCCCGTGGTTTAAGCCTCACTATTGAGGTTGAGAACAACTCTTTGGTTGATATAGCTAACTTTGAGATGACCTGCATCATTTATTGTTCAACTTCATCCATCACATAAGCAATGAGGAATACAAGAAACCACCACTCTGAAATTAAAAATAGGAAATTTATCAAACTGCCCATGAGAGATGCATTATTGCATTATTTATCATTTTGCACATTTGCCATTATTCCAACCTATAATGTGTATTTTGACGGGCATTTTGAAATTAAATCGAACTGTATGGGTAAAATGTTAAATAGTTAATCTCTCATGGGTGTTTTGATAAATTTCCCTTACAAGTATTAGGAATAAGTAAAACAATGTACTGAAAATGTCAGGGCAGTACATCAAACATCTGTATAGGTCATGCAGATCGTCCAGAAAATATCAGAAATGTAACACTAGACCTATTATCAGAAAGAATATGTATGTTAGGTGACAATTTTAGTCCCAGTTTTTACCATTTTACCCTTGTCTAGAACATTAAACACCAGAATGGGGGTAAAACAGTATTGTAAAACTTTTGAAATGTCCAAAGACTGCCTTGATTTATCAAGTTTATCGACCATACCCATGATCTGTACTGGCTTTCCTCATAAGGTCCTGATATTTTTTCCTAAAAGCATCAAAAGAGTAGTTCTATCACACATGCAAGACCAACACATAAAAATTGAAATGACAAATCATGGCAAACAGCTTCAGCAGAGGGAAATACAAAAATTTGTAGTACATACATCGGTCACATTCTTCATGGTCAATCCACCCACACTGATATCCTCCCCCTCAATCTCCACATGTCCTTCCTCAAGATGCGTAGAACTGGTCTTATGTTCCAAATTAGACCCTTTGGTTGGGCTTGCTTTTATTTCAGAAGAAGCTTTAGAAGGCCCCATGTCAGTTTTATTCATCCTGGATTCTTCTGTGACAAGTAAGCTGTCGCTTTTCCTTTTCTTTCCAGACAAGTTGACTGCCAAAGCAGAAATTTCTCCATCTTGAATTTGGGAATTTCGAATGCTAGCAGACTTATCAATAGACCTAAGACCTCGATTTTGTTCAAAAGAAATGGGATCCTTGTAGAGAGGAGAATATACGTTGCTTCCCACCATGTGTGGAGCCACCCTACCAACCAAGTTCTACAAAGTCAAAATTTTAGTATGAGTTTCCTACAATGGTAAAAGCCCCAATTATACTCATTCAAAAAAAATTATAAAACAAAATACACTATATTCCAAATGACAACAGAAAAAATCATAGTCTTCAGGGTCATTGCTGTCCATGACAGTGATGGGGCAAGAATGTGGCCCCCCATCAAGATCATGTCCTGTACTGATGGGCCCCATTCTCTCTATATCATCATCTATCAGTTCAAAAGAAGATGCTTTCCCATAGTCCTCAGGATTATAGTATAATTACTGAAAAGAAAGCTATTTGACATAAAAATACCATCCTTATCAGCAAATCAAACCAAACAGAGTCTGCTAACCTTTCCCGATTGTTCAGGGGTTGCAGACATCGAAATTTCCATGGTAGTCGTGTTATCACCTTGATAGGTTTTTGCGATTGTTTCCATTTGCACATCCTTGCCTTGGTTGCTTGGGAAAAAACTGCTAGTCCTTTCCTGAAGAGGGGTTTGATAATCCAAAACACCTTCAAATTCCTTTTGCACAACACATAAACTAGTTTCTTTTAAAACATCTTTCATTGAGCTGTGCTTGCTTACATTATTAGAATCCAAGACACTGACTGGGATAAGACCTTGTTGTCTGTTATTACTCTGTAAGAGTTCAGGGAAAATTCTATCTTCAGCACCAAGGGTCATATCTTTTAGAGCATAGATAGTGTTGGCCACATGATCTTTCATTGGGTTTTCAACAGAGGGAGAATAACTCGGCTTTCCTAAAATATTATGCTGGTTTGAGTCCCTTAAAGGTGGCTCTTTCGATTTAGACACACTGGGCAACTGAAGATCCAATTTTACAGTGGGAGATGAGAAGAATTTGCTACCCTTACCTGCATTTATGTTCTTTTCTAATGATGCAGTATGTAACTGTGAAGAGTATGAATGAGGAGTACCGATGACTCCACCCATGGAAAGGTGGGATGTTGGTAAATGATGTATAGATGAATGAAAAGATGCATGTGCTTCTTGATTAGGACAATCCCTAGCTTGCTTTTCAAATGTCTGCTTTCCATGTTCTTCAGGACAAACAAGACTCCCACTGTTTTCAGTCATAATCTTCGGACTATAAACTACAGAGCCATGCATTACATGGGTGACATCACTAGTAGCACCATTCTGTAAAAAACTTAGTGAATGCACAGCTAGGCGTGAGATAGGAGCATGTTCTTGTTGCAGTTGAGCACCAGTCTTGTTTTGTGACAGCATAACGCCAAGAGAATCCCCCATTTGATCTGATTTAGAAAGTGAGATTTTAGAGTGTTGACGCCCAATTCTCTCAGACAGATCTTTAGGTTTTGAAGAACCAAATGTAGAAGTGCGGTGTCCAATCAATGGTGTCATCATTTGGTTATGTCCTACATCTACTTCTTCTCCAATTAGAGAAGAAAAAGGCATGCCCCCAGTAAATGGTGTACTTGAAAGACCGCCAGATGGTTTCATAGTTTCGGATAATAGCTTCCATCTTTTGGAACGCAAGGAGAATGCACTGTCTTGTTCAGGGAAGTGATCAGAAACAAGAGTAGGTCTCTGGATAATAGGGGTCAGAGGAGAGTTCAAGCGATCAATAAGAATAGCTTCTCTAATGTCATCAGCTAGAAGCTCTACGTCTTTCACACCCTTGGAAGACTCCTGAATAAGTATCTCTGATTCTGACATAAAAGCTGAAGCCTTAGCATCTTTGCTTGGCCCTAGTTTGGCAAGTGGAGTTTCCTTGCTATCAGCAAATTCCTTGGCAAATATATCATGGGAAACCGCAAATGGTGTTATGAGGCTATTATGGTTGACAACCACCTCAGTGGAAGGTTGTCCAGTATTTTGCTTCTTGTCATTGTTAATGAAACTCCTGTTAAGGCCCATATCCAACATACCATCATTTCTATTTGCACAGTTAGTAAGAGGAACACGAGCATTGTGATCTGTAACACCCTCTGTGGTGGCATCATTGCTATTTAGTTGTAATCCATGAACAACATCAGTGCTGGCACTACCAGAAAATGATTCTGATGGTTGTTGCCGACCCTTCCCGGGACTTTCAACAGATTTTGAAGAAGCTACGGTGGAATCAAAATCAGTCTTATGGTTTACATGTTCAGATGAATCAATCATGTTTGCAGTTGGAGAAGATAAAGTTTTCCCTATATGGACAATGGGTAATCGATCAATAGATTGACCTGATCCAGATGTGCCTTCACATGATTCCTTAGGCAAGTTGGCACCCATAACCTGCCAGCCAAACAGTTGAATACATTAATCTTAATGTGATAAACATAAATCAACCATATAATGGAGCAAATAATATTACTAAAAATTAATAAACTGCCACAAAGACAAAACAATATTCGATACAATAAAAATAGTTAAAAAACTATGCTTTATATGCTTCTGAGCAATGAGGCAAAAATTTGACACATGATGAAAGCCCAACTCTAGGCATATAACTGCACATCAAAGAATAGACCATATTCTGTGCAAGCCTCTGGTATGCTAGACGTGATTTGTGGGCCAACTTCAAAGGTATTTTAGAGAGGACATGTAAATGAGAAGATGCAAAAAGGAACAAAACAACATTAAGAAGAATAACAACAGTGAACAATCTCATAATTGAATCAAGTAGACTACACAGTTGATAGAATGATTAAAACAACTGTACGAATTAGAACCAACACAAATCTGAAAATCTATTCAGTCAACCGACAAAACTCAAGAACAACTATCTAGATTTCGCAATAGATTTTTCTTTATAAATAACAGATTTCTCAAAATGAGATTATATACATCAAGTTGCACTAAGTGCACATATAGATATGTACAGGGACTAGGAGATTAACAAAATAAAGTAGCTAATATAAAATAATACAATAACCAAATAATAAGTATTTGAATAACCAATAATAAATATTGAAAACAATCACTGAAAAGTTGGACAACGTAAACAAGATTGATTCTAAGCCACAATGCAATATCATCAACGAAGACGAAAGAGAAAAAGAAACAAGGAAGAGGGGGAATTCTCATTTACTTATCAGAAACTATAAAGCCTATAAAGGAATATGATTCGCATTAAGCAGAAGATACATAAAAGAAAAAAAAAAATGGCATAAGAATATTTACCACCGTTGACAGGTCATGCACCTCGCTCACAGGTGTGTGGGGACTCAAACCAACTTGCTTAGCAGCTAAGAACCTGGAGAGTCCATCTAGCTTTTGCAATTTAGAAATATTGATATGATGATTATCATCAACAGGCATAGCCTCAATGTCTCTGTTGCTTAAATCCAATGTCTCCATACTACTACCAGCACTCTTCTCACTGGATATTAGGAACTTTTTTGAACTACTCAAAACTTGAAAAGACTTTGAAACAGCGGTATGATCACAGGCAGTAATGAGATGCACCTTCTTGAAACTGTCTTCCAACACAGCAGTTGACCTTGGAGATAACCTCTCATAATCATATCTATGTGGGTCTTCATTTATTAAGCTCATCTCATCTGATCCATTTGACTTTTCATCAGAGCAAAATTGCTTCTTACTTCCAGTCAAAGACATGAGATACCCAGAACCTGTATGGGCAGCATCTTCTGTTGGTGTGTTCTTAATCAATAATGATGGACCATCCATAGATGGTGTTCGGTCAAATTCACCAGAACTGCCAGACTGCTTGCCTAACTGCATAAGTTTGCCAAAACGTAATGAAAAAGTTGTTGAATCCATAGTAATATCATCTGCTTCTGGAGATTCTGAAAACCTCCCAGACTGAATGAAACTTGAATCAACAGGCCCAAAGAAGTTATATTCTGCAGAAATACATAGTGATCAACAACGACAAGCTGATATATCAAGATTGGATGTAAGGATACTTGAAAGTAAATACCAAGCTACTTTGGAAATATGAATAACATCATAGTGAGTTGACATCTTTTTTGATTAAGTAGACATCATGGTGATGTCCTTCGCAATAGCATGGCAAGTGCTAAAACTCATCTGATTACAAGTATAGCTATATTGCATATTAACATGCGATGAAAACCAACTAAACACCTAAATGACAAAACTGGTTACTTGGTCATTTTAACAAAAATGAAAAAGAACAAGTTTGAAGTCGAATTCATCAATAACAAACTCTGTAGGAAATACATATAATACAACCTACTCATCAGAAAGACAGTTGACCGACCAGATCCAAGGTGTACTACTAGTATCTACTCTCTTGTTAATATTGCTGCAGTAAGATATCATGACTTCATTTGAGGCTTAAAACCCATTTTTCTGAATTTTCGTTATTTTTGTCTTATTCTACTCAATGCTGACTGTTGAACTCCTCTCTATCAATGCCAAAAAAAGGGAAAATATGGACCTAAAGTTTAAGCTTTCCATTGTTTCCAATGAGAGCCTTGTTTTCTTTATTTCGAATGGCTTAGCACAGGTTTCATTGCAATATGATTTTGTTTAACCCAAACCTACTGATATTTTTCATTGCTTTTCAAAGTGACATTCCATGTTCAATAAGTTTTTTTTACCATATTTCAAACTCAACATTAGAAACCATATTTCCATAACACTGTCATCTTTCAACTACTCAATCAAGAACCACCTCCTGGCATCAAATGCGCTTCAGCAACCTGAACTGTACTTTCATTGTGAGTAACAAATTCTCAGTCTATAGTAAGCGAAGCTTAGCTTTTTATTATATTAGCAACGAACTGAATAAGTAAAAGAGGTACAGGGAGAGAGACAGAGACAAGGAGAGGGAGATAGATATAGAGCCAGAAGTTTAACATAATACTTCATTTTCTCAATCATAAAACCACAAATTAACCCGCCATAAACTGCCAATTATATCATGTTCTTCCTAAACTAAAAAAAAGAAAAAAGCCAAAATCTGGAGGGAGATATAGAGGGGTTTATTCACTGACCTCCATTTGAAGTAGCAGAGCCGGTTTCACTTCCAGGTGACTCATCAGGACGCACAAAAAACACTCGATTAGTCTCTCCCTCTTCCAATTCTTCATCCAAACCCTCACCCTTCTGATTCTCTCCAATGGCTTCAGAGTTCCCTAATTCTTCATCAGCAGGCTTGGAATCAGGTGGTGTCTCGAAATCCTCATCTCTATCAAAGAAACGAATGCAGGTGGTATCAGCAAAGCTAACCCTTCGAACTCGTTTCTTTCGTCTGGGACTCGTTTCGTCTGGTTCAGTGTTTCCTTGGTCCTCTGACTCCTTAAATCCTCTCTCTGAAGAATCCATGGGCTTCAAATTACAAAATGCAATCAGGAAATGCGAGAATTTACAGGGTTCTCGTTCCCATCAATATCAAAATCGGAAGATTTCCCTCAAATGCGACAAAAAAAAACGAATTTTCAGGGTTCGTTTACACAGAACTGGAAATCTACAGCGTCTCCAATCATAGAGAAAAATTAGGTGCTTTTTGTTGGAATAACATCTTAGGGCTTCCATTCACAACAAATAATTTTCAGAAATTGCATTCATCGATGAAGATGAAGAAGGTCGGGAATTTCGAATTTGAATAAAAAGAATAATTTTAGGGTTTCCATTGAAGAGAGGGAGAGAGGGAGAGGAGTTATCTGTAGTGGTTTGAGCTCCAGAGTTAGGCGGGATTTGTATTGCCGGAATAAGTTTCGATTTGAAATGAGACTAAATGACAAAACTACCCTTGATCTCCGACCAAATTTAAGGACAAATTTTTCATGGGTCGGGGGACGCATTTCTACAATGGAGTCTCCGATGTATCCAGCATTGGATGTAAATGGACGGTCCATCTATAAATAGTTGAAACTAAGGATCCAAATGTTTTCTTATTAAACTATCATTTTAATTTTAAATAATTATTTATTTTTTCATATTTATGATCTCCATGTTAGAGATTATATATTCTTAAAAATTGGGTCCAAAAATCCATCTCAAAAATAAATTATTAAGAGAAGGCTCATTTCTACACCGATTCATAGAAACCGTGTTCTTTACATGAGGGTGGGGAATGCATCCACCTTTTCAAAATCTCTCTTTTCATAGGAAAAATTGTAAACCTTACTGGGAATGTATCCACCTTTTCAAAATCTCTCTGTCCATAGGAAAAATTGTAAATAAGGTTGTTGCCTTGCTTACAGAAATAAAGTTGTAGTGATCGATATTGTCTATTTTATGTGAACCGTGTAGATTTGATACTATCTCAAAATACATATTGTTTTTTATGTTTTTAAAAAACATGTCAAATCTACTATATTCAATTAAAATAGACAATGTATAACAATGTAACCTTACTTCTATAAGAAAGGTTGCAACCTTATATAAACAACATAATTTCCAAATCATACCATGGAATAGGTTTTTGATCAATATTTCACATGGAGATGATCTCAACTACCGTGGTCATGAATTTAAAGAAAAACAAATTATCAATTTAAATAGTGTACTTTGTGTTTTTTTTTAATTGTTCATCTGATTTTTTTTTGCATACCATCAAATCTACGTTGTTTTTGGAGTTGAACATATATCTAAGGTAAAATGCATTTGTAGTGATTTAAGATATGTTTCATGTCCTGGCCCTAAAAATTTGAGGTGCACTCATGCATCAAATGGCACGCAATCAAGTGTAACGACTATTACCATGTTTCAAAACCTGGACCTATGGGGCAAATAGTTCACCTATATATCCATGTCAAAACCTTGGATTGGATATGGATAAGTCCAAATAAGGGATCCATAAAATTATTTTAAAAAAATCAAATTTAAAATAAGGTTTTATAGGGTGGGATATTAAACAGACTTAAAAAAATGTTAAATAAAATTTAAAATAATATATAAAGGGATTTTGAGGAGGAACCAGGCTAGGACCTATACCATCTCATAACTAATTTGGTCCTACTGGTTCTCATCCATATCGATGATCTAAACCAAAACTCGTCAGGTTTTAAAACACTGACTATCATGAGTCCACCTTAGTTTTCCATGAATTTAGTGCATAAACACATTTTTAAAATAGCATGGTTGGAAATGTGCTATTTGATCAGATTTGAGGTTCAAAAGAAAAGTGCACATCTTTGCAACAATATGATTTGATAATATGAGTTGATATCTGAAGGTTTAAATGATTGCGACCTCTTATTACCAAAGGAAAATAGTGTCTTAGGATCTAATCCCTATTAATTAATTTATATATTTTGTTAACTTAGTGAATGAGTTATCGAGTCTTTTAACCCAAAAAGCGAAGGAATAGTTTAGTTACTTTTAGCTGCTCCCAAAAAACAGTTTAATCTTTTTTTTTCAAATAATGAGTAGTTGAGTCTTCTTTCAAAAGATATGTAGGCACCCCATTTGAACTAATTAAATTCCAAGATTTCCAAAACTCAAAGCATAGGCTATATATCTTACGTTGAAATGAAAATAGCCTTGAAACAATACCAATGATGAAGTTATAGAACTTTGACTATAGGGGACTGATTTAGAGCCTTGCTTTGGACTGATTTCTATAACTTCATCATTTCATGATGGAAGAATGCCAAATTCGATATCAAATTGAAGAGGACTTAAGCACATAAAAATTCACCTGACTCAGACCTTTTATTGATAAGTTACGGCAACACAGTCGAGACAGCACTTCAAACTACCATTTTTTAGTAATAGTAACACAGTATGCGTCCCGCCGGCACACCATGACTCATAACATACTATAGTAGTGGATGTCACAGTCTTTATGTATTGCTAGATATCAAATCTAGCACCCTCACATCCTAGTCACCACGTTGTGGTTTTCATTATCGTGACACCACCCCACTATCACCTTCAAACAACTAAATATTTGAAAAAATGGGTAGGGACATGTCTTCCCCCACTGAATTGCCAAAAAATATATATATATACATTTAGACCTTTTTGGGAAATCCCCTTTTCCTGTCACACCGTTAAACTCCTCACAAGTGCAATACTAGCTAGCATGCTAGCCTGGGGCAATAGTATTCACTACCATAAGTTCGAAAGTGGAACCTCTCTTAATCAGATAACCTCCAAAGTTCAAATTCGGCCTCACGAACAAAAGAGAAATAAGACAAAAAAAAATGTTAACGAGTTTTGACTATATCATTCCAATTGCTCATGACAGCCAATTTTCAAATAGAAAAAAATTATATAAGGTATAATCCTTATATTATAGAAGTTAAGTGTAACTTAAAAACCCATTAAAAAGGTTGTTCTGACACGGGAAAACTTTCAAAATGATTATCATCGATCTCAAGATATATGGATATGAGAAAAAATGTGTTGTCTTATAAAATAGTGCATTACGTAACACACTATCTGGATCGTCCACTTTCAATATTTTTTAATGTTTATAGATCTATTTGATCCGCTCCATTTTCTCATGTTTAAAATCACAACTTAAACCATTGTGCAAGTTTTTTACATTATAATTGTTATTTTTTGACAAAACAACTTTTAGCTTAGATCAACAAAACTCTAGTTCAACCAAGCTAAGGTTTGGTGATATTTGAAGAGAGAACAACATATGACATGTGTACACAAATGTGGTTATGATACGGGAGAGACTTATACAACTGTGGTTCTGATACGGGTGAGGCCTTGAAGCCTCGAGCCAATTAGCCTATCTAGGTATTTTGCTCATCATCTTATTTCGTCTTATTTTTCATTTATTTTATTAGATTTGTGATTTTTTTTTTATTTCAATATTTCGTGCTTTTTGGATTGATGCTGGATTTGCCACTGATATGAGCGTGAATCCATTCGTTTTTTAATAGATATAGCCTCAGATCAGAATTCGATTTTTCTCACTCTCTATCACTTTTAAAATCAGTTTGTGATACAATATAAGGGATCTTCCTCCAAAGATCTCTTTGATTTGCACTATAAACAACTCTCCATAACTCAGTTGCATGTTGAGCCTTCCATTCGCACTGACAACTTAAAAAACCACAAACCATTTAAAAAACAGGTAAGGGCTTCCATTCCCCACTGAATTACCCCAAAAAAATAACACATGAATAGCCAAAGGAATAGGGGAAGAATCTTACTACTGTATGCTCAATGTGTAAAATTAAAGGCTGAAACACTTAAACACTTGGGAATAGGGTTGAGGTCGTGGTGGTAGCACTACTTGAACTTCAGCTATCGATCTTGGTTTTCATTCCGATTGACACATTTGAAAACCGGTTTCCATTCCCAGTGACACATTTGAAAGTCGTTAATTATTTCTAAAACGGGTAGGGGCATGTATTCCCCACTGATCTACCTAAAAAAGAAAAACACTGAACACATATTTCTTCATTGTCTGACTGTAGCTAGTTTTTGGATGTGGCTATTGCAAATGTCTAGCTTGAAATTGAGCCTCAGCTACCGATCTAGGTTTCCATTCCCATTGACACATTTGAAAACTGCTAATTAGTTCTAAAAACAGGTAGGGGCATGTATTCCCCACCGATCTACCTAAAAAAGAAAAAACACTGAACACCTATTTCTTCATTGTCTGACTGTAGCTAGTTTTTGGATGTGGCTATTGCAAATGTCTAGCTTGAAATTGACCTTGCCTCCTACCTTCATCTAGTTCTTTGAACAATGGATAAGCCCCACCATTCTAAACCTGGAGTAGTGGTATAGAGAACTATGGTCACTGTGATACGGTGGAAAGAACTAAATAACACAACTTATGAATATGATTTTTTTTTTTTTCTGGATAATTAAGCGAGGATGATGAGCCCCTACCTATTTTTTTGAAATCTTTAGTGGTTTTTGAATGCATTAGACGAGAATAAAAGCCTAGATCTCATCGAAAGTGCGGTGCTATCACCACAACCCCAACCCCATTCTTGAACTTATTCAGGTATTGTATCCAAAAGAGAGTATATAAAATATCTCGTATTAGCCACACCAGCTAAATGGACTTCAATGACTAAGCATTGCCTTGGCACAGCTAGGCAAGACACAAGGAAGAGGTGAGAACACAGTTGCTGGAATTCGGTGAGTGAATTATTGGTAGAGGGGGATTCTCATGTAGTTCAATGGGCCAAAGAAAAATGATAGATCATATGGCGGTTGATTCCCATATTTGATAACATTAATGCTTTTTTGGTTAGGCATCATCATCCTTGCAAAGCAGGGCACTACCCACTAGACTCTTATAATCAATAAATTATACTTTTGTGCAGCCGGTACTACATCATAATTTTTTTTGTGCAATAAATGAAATGAAATATTAACCAAAAAAAATAATTTTTAAAAAAAAAAAAAGCGATAGGCCCATATGATTCTAGACCTAAGGGTGGCAAAAGATCAGGACTCGACAAGTAGACCTTATCCTGATCTAGGTATAGGTTTAAAATTAGACCCGACGGGTCGAGTTTGGATCCAAATCTTGAACCCGAACATTGTTTGAGTCTGAGTCTGGAGATTTCAAATCCGATCGACTATAGGTTTGTGTCTAGGTCCCATAATATATTTTTTGGGTCCGCGTCCGGGAAACCAACCGGACCCGACTTGACCCATTTCCACGCCAATATAGGCATTTGAGCGCCTATTCATAGCCAAGTTCTCACGTTCATTTCACAACGGATATTGTGAGAAGGAAGCATGGGCAACATCGTCCATAAGCTTATTCCTGCTCTCTATATAAGGCGACCTGAATTTGACCATGCGGTTCGTTTGTTCATCAAGAGCTAGGGTTTCGAAGCTCAGAACTTTGATATCGGGGTCCAGAGAGCCAATTCTTTGATACAAGTCTAGGGTTTTGAAGCTCCGAGAATCGAACATCGATTCAGCTTACTCATTCATCAAATTCTAGGGGTTTTGAGGATCTGAGAATTTATACCCGAGTTCGGAGATTTATTTGTTCCTAGTTTTGAAGCTCTGCGTTTTCGTCAATGGGGAAGAGGAAGGAGCGGCGTATTGCCGCCTTAGCGGCCGGTCGTAGGGTAAAGCTTGACCTTTTTGCGGAACCCTCTGGTATTCCTCGCTCTCTCTTTCTAAGACGTCCTCTCTCTTATATCTTTATCTAGTGCTTTCCCCCATATTAAGCCTCTAATATACTGTTTCCAACTCTCTCTCTCTCTAGTGATGGACCTGATTTCACAAATGTATTATTGAACTATTATTGATTTACTTATTCATGCGATTTTCTGCCTCAATACACGGTTCTGATTCAAGTTGTTGTGTTTAATTGGTTACTTCATGAGGGTTTTCTCTCCATAGGCACTGTGCAGTTTTGAGATTGTTTAACCCAGAAAAGATATTATCTTTATGTGCAAAATTCTCTGCAAAATGTGGTCCGTATTCGAGAAAGTGTTATGGATTTGCTATTCCCGCCCTCATTTTTCTTTCCCGCTCTTCCAGATATTTTTTTGTATACGTACAAATTTCTCTCCTCAGGGTCATTAACCATATCCTTAGGATTATCATCATCAAATATATCTCTGTAGACATGAATCATGATAGCAATGGAGGTTTATGTTATTGAATCTTACTTGATTTATTGATTTGTGCAAGTGTTCTTTATTTCGATGTAAAAATCTAGATTTTGGAAAAGTTACCCAATCAGGAAAATCAAAAGTTTTAGTTTGAAAACTATTCTCATGATTGGGGTTTCAATTTTTCTATACCTGTGAATTATTGATTTCGCCAAGTCACTGGAAGCATTTCTGTACTAAAGTTTGGGTATAATGATAGACAAACTTTAATAATTCAAAGAAGATGCTGCTAAATATCGTTTGCATCCGTCACTGGAAGCATTTCTGAACTAAAGTGTGGATATAATGATAGACAAATTTTAATAATTAAAAAAAGATGCTGCCAAATATCTTTTGCATCTGCACGAGGCCCCCTGTCTTCTGGATTATGTATTCCTGAAATATGTTTTCTAAATTGGTTCATGTGCTAAATATAGGAAGATTACTTTTATTGCTAGGTTGCCCATAAATTAGGTTTCAAATTATTGTATATCCTTGAACTATTTAGAAGGGGTAAACCACTGGTAGTTTTTCCTAGCTCTTTTACAATGTTGGCTAAACTTATACACTCCATCAATGATTCTGCTTAAATTTATTTTTCAGTGTAAAACCCCTTTCTTATATACTGATATACTTCTGAGCCCTGTTTTCTTGTCTGGTTTGGTATGAAAAATTCAAGAAAATGAAAAAGATGTAGTACATGACCAGGTTTTTCGCCTGACTTAATTTGTCGGCCATAAATTTTGGTTTTTTATCGTTTCTTTTTTTTCTTGAAAATAATAAATAAGGAAACATGAGAGTGGAAACAAAACGGATAACAAAAGTTCACTTTGATTTCCTCTGTCTTAAAAATATTATGATTATTATTGTTGTTGCTTGTGCTGCTGCTGCTGTTGTTATTGTTAATAGTATTGCAATGTTATGGTTGTTATTTTTTCCTAACACTTAAAAATAAAATAGTTGGTCTTTTTCCTTGCTCCTTGTAGACTTGCTTTTTGCCCTTTTTGATTTACTATGCTGTATACCATTGGTGTAAGTGAGAGAAGCATTATGCCCAGTAAAACCATTTTTATCTTATAATAATAAGGTTTTTGTGGTAGGGGAAGATGGGGGTTGAGAACATACTTACATTTTACAAAAAATTGTATCCTTAATCATGGCTCGTTCACTCTAGGTTTTGCAACTTCTTTTTTCTTCTTGAAGTGATTTTGGGACAAATGTATTCATAAGTTGGCCAAGGCGTCAATCATTGACAGAGAATGAGGAACTTCTACTTTACTAAGTCCTGGAATAATCTCAACAAAAAGAAAAGGACCCGTTTTCTATGCGGCTAAGCCCGCATATGTAGAAATGTGGGCCTATTAATAAATCTATTTTTGAGATGGATTTTTGGACTTAATTTTTAAGGACATGTAATCTCTAACATGGAGATCATGGATATGAAAAAAGAGTAAATTTTAAAAACTAGAAATAATAATTCTAGTAAGAAGACATTTGGACCATTAGTTTTCATTGTTTTTAGATGGAACACCTACTTGCATCCATTTTTAAGATGTATGCTTTACACTTTTTGGAAGCATATGTAGTCATGCGGTCCAGCCCGCATGAAACAATTTTCCAAAAGAAAAATCTGGATATGCTTGGGACGTATATTGGATTTCTGTATGTGTTTTGATGATTATTGATTTTGTTCTACAGGAGAGATGGTAGGATCCTCTTTAAATGATGAAGCTGGAGTTGTTCATGAACAATCTCATCTTGCTGGGGACCCTAATTCACCATCTTCTTCAGGTGGGTTCCTTCAATATGTTTTCAAGGGACTACTATATAGAGACGATATGCTTACAAGCATTACGATGGTGGAATTTTGGAAATATTATGCAAGAAATTATGTTGTTTCCTCGAGAACATGGTTTTGAATTGTAGGGGTTGGCTGAGATGTTGGCAACATTCAATTGTCAGATCACATTGGGTTGCCACCATGTATTTTGAGTGACTCTCGATGATTTTCTGACAGCACCTATGCATAGTCGGAGGTTTCAGCAGGAAGTTGTTGCCTTCTCGGTTCGTATATTCTAGCTTTGTTTGGTTTATATATCCTAACGTTTTGTATATTTGTGCCAGGTTTGGTGTGATCGAAATAGATGGGGTTGACCCATCTATAATGTGGGGCATGTGCATTTATTCAATGTTGAGACTCTTGTGATTGAATTACAAATAATAATTGGTTTCACTGATTCTATAATGTGTGGTTGCTTTTAATTCCAACTTACCAGTTGATTGTTGTGCTTGCAGGTCATCGCCTGGAAAACCCTTTGTTGTTGCTTGGGCAATACAGTGATGAGGACGTGGATGAGAAAGAAAGTGAGAAAACTACAGAGGCAAATAAGGATATTGGGGAATCTGGGAAAGATGAGGTAGGTGATGCAGTTAATATTGATGTCTTAGTTGTTTGATAGTAGAGAGAGAGTATTGTTTTTGTTGTTTTGTTTTGGATCTCTGTTTTTTCTTTTTCGTAATTGCATACACGTTTATTTTTACTTCTATGTGGATTTATGCCTTCGTATCAGGTTAAGATTGGGGTGTTGGATTATTCTGATGATGTAGCTGGTCTTTATGTTTTTTGCTTGTTTAAATAATAAAACGATTGATGGGCAGAGAATGTGCTCTCTCTCTCTCTCTCATGTCGTTTATCCCTATCTTTTGGCACATGCATATGTATCAAACCTGTATTTGCATTATCTTAAATTGCTCCTGCATATGAATGGTGATTTATCTGTTATGCCCACCATTGTTGGTGTATGGGGAATAACATATTACTTTAAATGACCTGGTGATGTTGCTACTTGCTACTACATGAGTATTTCTTGACGAGGCAGAGATGATGTATTCCTGCCATCCTGTTATGTATACTCATAAATTCTTCTGCATGTGTGCATCTATTCATGCATTGGCCTTTGTGGGGGAGGGTGTTGTATTGACCAGGGAATGTAGTTTGTATCATCATCTGGATGCTTGATGATGTAGATTGACATTGTTCCTCTCTCTCTTTCTCACTATATATCTATCTACTATCTACTTATCTCATGCACACATGCATATTTCCATTCTATGGAACTGTTTGCATTGATTTGCACTATTGGTTTTTCTTCTCTGCAAATTCTGGTATGCGTCCAGCCCATGTTCTTATGGAGCGTGGTTGTGTTTCAGGTTGTGGAAAACCTTGCTGATGAAAAAGATGGTGATCTGGACCCTCAACGTGGGGAAAATGGTGTTGTTCTTGATGATGACAAAGATAACATAAACGCGGCATCAGATGCACTTATTGATCGCTATAATTCAGACGAGAATGATGTATCTGAAAGTGGAAAGATTGACACGTTTGAACGTTCTTCTGGAACTGTTGCACAATCTATCGCTTTTATTGACTCTGGGGCTTCTGGGGCACACAATTTGGAGGAAACTGAATGGAGAAGTGTGTTGGATGACGAGAGCGGTCGGTATTATTACTGGAATGTGAATACTGGGGAAACTGCATGGGAGCTACCTGACTTTCTAGTTCAGAGAAATGATTTGAATGTTTCAACTTTCAGCGATAATATAGGAACAGCTTCTGTGAATTCAAACCAGGAACATAGTGTAGAACCAGGAATTAATGTTACTGAGCATCTTGGGCCTGTTGCAAAACTGCAGACCAATGGGGTAAACATTGAAGATGGGTCACATAATAAGGAAATGGTTGGCAATGAGGTTCATAAACTTGAAGGAAAAGAACATGAGTCTCTGCAAGTTCCTGCCCAGGATGCAGTGGTCATGAAACATTCTTCAGTGAATGAAATGGTTGGCTTGCAACCAAAAAGTGAAGGGAATTCTGAGTTTAAGGAACCTCTAGATGGAGTGGGACGGGTCCATATGGGAATCAACTATGAAACCAAGGATGAACATGAGACTTCCACTGAAGACAATGAATTAAGCATCATTGATCCTGCTGAGCTTGTCAGATTTTGTGAGAAATTGTTACAAAGATTGAAGGCTTTGGATGGGTACCTTGTCTATACACTCACTATACCATTTAGGCTTGTGTATATTGTCAGTTAGTTTAGCATGGTTTTCTTTTAACTACTTAAATTATCATTCATTTATCTTTCGCTATTTAGCCTCTTGCAAATTATCTGTTTCAGGTGTGACAGTGATCATCAAGGACCGAGCAGACGATTGAAACATGTTTTAGAAGTCAAGTTGAGGCTTTCTGATTGCATGGCACTTGCACCTTGTGGATTGACTCTATTGCCATTTTGGTTGCACACTGAAACACAGCTTCAGCAAATCGAAGCTCAATTATCTGAAGATGAAGCATCCTTTTCCAAAGCAGAATGCCCAACCTTGCAAATCTCAGCTAATGAACATGATGATGTCTCACTGCAGAAACAAGAAGTAGAAACTGAAACCGATGGGAGACGCAATGGGACACTCGTTAACACAGTTGACAAATCTTCTCCTCCTTCTGATGCAACTGAAGATTCAGTTCACTTAGAAACACTCCACTATTCTCCTCATCATAATGATGCCTTTGAATCAAAAGATAATCTACCTTCTGGGTCCATTTCTGGATTGGCTTATGAAAGTGGATTGGAGGGAAATTTGGGTATTCTGAATGTAAAGACTACTGAGAGTACCATTGTCTCCTCTTCTCTTCCTTTAATTGAGAAAGGTGGTTTAGAAGAGGTACCTGAGTCTCTGGTTCCAAGGACCGAGGCTAATGTTGGAAGAATCATGACACTGGAGGTGGGTTCTGTGGAAGACGTAGATATGGATGTAGACATGGAGGTTGATGATGGAATCACTACTAATCCTCTAACTGTTGAAAGCGAATCTTTAAAAGAATATTGTGCCTCATCTATGGATCCTGATCACCCAAGCTCCCCGGCATTGGAACCTTCAAATTTTACATACTCTGCGCCTCTTCCTACAGATGAGGAATGGATTCCTCCACCTCCTCCAGATAATGAACTCATTCCTCCTCCACCACCTGATGAGCCAGCTCCACCTTTACCCACATCACCAGCTCATGAAACTGTGGCTCCTTCTCCTCCTTACCCAGTACAATATACATCATACACCGCGCCAACCTTTGAATACTACCCAGCAATCACTGAAACTGCTACTGCTAACTATTATGTTCATCCTGATTCAAGTCAGATTCTTGAAGCCCAAGTACCTTATTATGAATCAGTAGCTAATGCCTATCCAGCTCCCGCTTTAGTATTAAGTAACCCAGTGGAACCTGTTTCTTATTATGGGATTGCAAATGGAATAGTTCAGACTGCACCTATAATTAGCAGCTTCGAGACTTCTGCTTACTATAGTGAACCGAGTCAACTTAGTCAAGTTGGTTATGTTGAGAATTCATGTGCTACTAGTGTTATCCCAGAAGTTGCATCTAGTTCCTCGGTGAACTCAGATGTTGCTGGACATTCTAGCGGTGAAAGGGAGACAAAGTCAGTAAAAGTTGCATCCAGTTTGGAATCCATTCAAGCTACAGTTGCCATTTCACCTAGCGATACGACTGTGGTCGCATCTGCTGCTGTTGCTAAAAATCCTTCTAAAGGTTTGTTTTTATGACACGTCTCTCTCTGAAGTGTATTTCTTTCCTAAATGTAGTATTTGTGTTGGTCTGTTGGTAGCTTGCATTTCGGGCTCCTGCTTCGCTAATCTCAAGTACATGGTTTTTGCAGAGAAAGTGTATTAATTGGGCACAGTATGAAAACTATACTTTATTAATATGAAAACATATTGTATTGGGGTCGACAGTCTAGAGAAACGATGGACAGAGATGAGAGAGTGGAACCCATCAAAATAGTACTCGACTCTATTGTGGGCTCCCACACTCTCCCTCCACCATCGATTTCACTGGAGGTGATGACCGTAATGGACTATGGTCTTCCATTGTCCTTTGGATTATAGTGTACTACTATTTTTAAATTCTTGGGCCTATTAAATTGCTTTGTAAATTTTTATTTGCCGTGTGACGGTGTGTGTGACGGTCTGAGTGATCTGCATCTTCTCTTTTACTTATTGGAAATTGTTTTCTGTGCAGTTGTTCGCGGTAAAAAGCGAACTATTGCTGTTGCACCAACTCTGAGAGCGAACAAGAAGGTCTCTACATTAGTGGATAAGGTGCATAAAATGCCTCTCGACTTCCAAATTACGTGCGTCCGGGGAAAAATGCGATATTTGTTGCTTACTCTTTGGGCAATTAGATATGGTGTAAGCCTTGTTATATTTCTTATTTTGTTGTTTGACATCAGTGGAAGGCCGCTAAGGAGGAGTTGCAAGAAGAAGGTGAGGAAGATGAACTTGAAAATGCTTATGAACTTTTCGAAAAGAAGCGTCAGAAGGAGATAGAGGTATATACCCAATACGGTCATGGATCAAATACGATGATTTATGATGCCTTGCTTGACTTTTGACATTGATCAATGGTCTTCTTTTGTTCAGAAATGGCGTATGAAACAAATTGCTAGTGGAGAAGCTAAGGATAATGCTAATTTTCAGCCTCTGGGTGGTGATTGGTACGACTTCTTTCTACTTAGTTATTTTTAATGGCTTGGTTTATGTATTTAGTCACAGACATTTAAAGGGTTTGTTGAGTTTCAAATTTGTTGGTCTTGGTTTTGTTATAGGAGAGCGAGGGTTAAACGTAAGAGAATGGCTGCAGCAAGTGATGCAGGTCAAACACAGGCCATGGAACCTGAGGCCACATTGACAGAGAAGCAGCTGCAGCCTGATTTGGAGGAGCTTACGAAAAGCCTCCCTTCTGATTGGCAAGTAAGTCTGTGTTTCTCTATTTTTTGCCACTTGTTTTGGAAGGAATTTTTTTTCTTCTGTGGTTTCTTTTCTATTCTTTGTATGATAGTTCTTTATCTTCCCTTTTTATGGCCACTGTTGTCTAGTTGTGGTTCTTAAAGTTAAGATGCAAATGCTTTGAAACTAATGGAAAAAATTGCAGAAACTAACCAAATCTTGAGCTATTGATAAAGGTCTCATCATTATAATCATCATCATCATTTTCTAGCCGACTCCAATTAAAAATGAAGTCAGTTATTCTCCAAAAAAGAAAAATATCCCATTAAAAATCAATTACGATGAACATCGAAAGTAATAACATCATGTGACCTTTATCAACAGGGAGTGTTATAGTGTCCGTATGATGTGGATGCTTGAAGGATGCATAAGCACCTGTCAATGGTTCAAATTGAATGTAGTATCATCCAATGGCCCAAAAAGAATTTTGTAGTATTTTTTTATTTTTATTTGTAAGTGAAATTTACCGTGAATTTGGGGTATAAATATATTTGAATATGGCAAACCCAGTAAAAAATAAAAAAATATTATGAACAAAAAAATTGACCAAAATACCCCTAAAACAATTTAAGAGTATTCTGGTTAACTTCTTTTGTTCAAAAGTTTATTATTATTATTATTATTATTAGGTGCAACATATAAAAATACAATTATACCCTAAATTTTAAATAAATGTCATTTTTAAATAAAAATAGAAAATAAAATACTAAAGCCATTGGATGTGGCCATGTTTAATATGAACCCTTTTGTGGCCTGTGGATGTGGCCTTGTTCAACGTGAACCATTGGAATGGTGCTTGTGGACCCTTCCAGGATCCACATGCTGTGGACGGAGGACTTTTCCTTATCGGTGTAGATGATTGTCAAAGAAACTTGTAAATGAATTAAATTTGCGATTGTCATCGATATTATGTTGATTATTATTTTTTATCTTATTAATTAATAAATGAATTCCAGAGCAAAGAACTTAGTTTTGACTGTGATTCAGTGAGATTTTGAGTTGTGCATCAATTTTTTCCTTTTCAAGCTACTTGATCAATTTTTTTTTTTTTTTTTTTCAGGCTTATTGGGATGAATCTTCAGGGCAGGTTTACTATTGGAACATGGCCACTTCGGAGACCACTTGGACCAGACCAACATAATCCAAAAGCAGGATCCTTGTTGTTCCTTTTTAACTCCGGGGCATGTACAGAGTAAATGCTGCTCATTTTTGAACTGTACAGGAACAGTGGATTTTCATTTTGAGTTGGAAGAGTGTATCATATTCACATCAACAAGACAGCTGTCTTTTTGTCTTTCTATTTTTGGGCATATTTTACATCTTTCTAAAAGTCATGGATTTTCTTGCTCGGATATCCCTTCATCTCGGCGGTGGCCGATAGGTGAAAAATGGTTTTAGCTGGAGCCCTTGGATTTTTTTGGCATGAAATTTTGTCAGACTGTTTGATAATATTAAAAAATTGATTTTCAGTTCTAGATTGAGCAAGCCATGAATCTCAGCTAATTGAATTTAAAAGGAAAGCAATTTTGTGGTTTTATCATTCTACTTGGTTTTTGTCCTTCTACTCCTTTTAACAGGCTTCTCCACCAGGTAAGAGGATACACCTCTATAGTGGTCTGCCCAAGGATCGAAAAAAATGTTCATGTTTCAATTGTCATTATTATTGTTGAAGTCTTTTTCCAACTAATTGAGGATGTTTTGATAGGACAAACCAAATTTAGAAGGGTCGACCACCCAAAACTTTGGAAATGAAATTGCTATGAATTTGCCCTTGTCTCTCTCACCTAAAATTGGAGTGAAAATTGCCGGGCTATGTGGTACTCAAATATTAGTACCTGTGGGAAATATATTCATTTATTTTTTTAGGAGGTTCGTTAGTTATAGTTTGGAAAATGATCTAATGAATCAGGCTTTCTGACAATGCGGTAACTGTTGGTTTTCATAGCACTACTACTCAAGTTCCATTGTTATGTAACCTCCTCAAAAAAAAAAAAAAAAAAAAAATAACTAAAAAATCTACTAATAATAATGATGAGGAGGTTGGGTAGTTCATCGGCAGGAATTGATATTTTTCGGATGCAAGATGCAAATTCTTGGGGGTGTGGTTTTTTTTTTTTTTTTGCAACAATCTCAATAAGGAAAATTTCATTCCTAAGTCTTAAAAGAATTAAACGTTGCAACAATATCAATAAGGAAAATTTCATAAATAAGTCTTAAAAGAATTAAACGTGTTATGGATGACGAGCGGCCATCCATTTTTGCCATGGTTGGATATAAAAAAAATCGATTTTTTCCTTTGATGTTCCCAGTCTTTAGGAATTCAAAATGAATTTTAGAGTCATTTGGTGATTTTAAGGCTGGAGCAAGGGAGCTATACGCTAAAATTGTAGATGTCCCCCTATTTGGACTTTCCCCCTAGCAAATACCCTCAAGTAAAAATGAGATTATTTTTTTGACAAAAATGCCCTTGTTTTTACGTTTTGGGCCTGTTGCCGAATCGCATGGGCATATTGCTAGACCTCTCTTTGCCAGTGCTAGACTGTTCATTTACATTGCCGGACCACCTTTTTGTGTGCGTTATGGGAAAAGTTAAAGTCATGAGTGTTAAAAGAGAGGCATTTTGGTCATAAAAACTATGACTTTTTTTATTGTGGGTTATTTGCCAGAAAATTTGTTTTGGGGTAAAAATTGTAATAAATAGTTTCTTGAGGGATGTTGTCTAAAAAGTCGAAGATGGGGGTATCTTCAATTTTCCCAAAAACAGAAGAAGTTGAAAGATCAATAAAAAAAGAAGAGGAAAGTTTATATAAGGTTGCAACTTTAAAATGTAGTTTTAAAGATGCACTTCAAAAAATCTATCATAAAAACTACATTTTAAAGATGCACTTCAAAAAATCTATCATAAAAAAATGTTTGGAAGTTGGACTCTAATTGATCATCTCGATTTCGAGATGCATGGATATAAAAAGAAAAAAAGGATTTCAAGTCCATGAAATCGTGTATCTTGCAACACATTCTCTGAATAAATCGATTTCAAGATTTTCATGTGTTTATTGATCTACTTGATTTGAACCATTTTAGAATTTAAAATTTTATAATTAGAGATGAAAAATAGATTCTCAAACCATCTTACTAATTTTTTATATCACAATTACATTTATGATGAAATTTAGAGGTGCGCCTCAATTGGATTGTTTAAGGTTACAACCTTATGCAAACCACATGCATAAAAAAATAAAAATAACAAGTTAAAGGAAAAAGTAACCTTAAAATGTAGAATTACATATGCACCTAAAAAATCTATCGAAAAGGTTGTTTTAATGTTGAAAAACCCTCTAATTAATCATCTTGACATTGAAATGTATGAATATGAAAAAAAAAAGTTTTTGAGTCTCACAAATAGTGCATCTTGCAACACATTAGCTAGACCATCCATTTTCAAGATTTTCATATGTTTGTAGATCTACTTGATTTTAACCATTTTTGGAGTTTAAAATTTTCTAATTAGATATGAAAATAGATTTTAAGATAATCTTAAGAATTTTTTACAACAAAATTACATGTAATGATAAAATTTAGATATGCAGCTTAATTGGATTGTTTAAAGTTGCAACCTTATAGAAACCACACCCCCAAAGGCCTAATTTTGCAAAGAGTAGAGAGCTCCTTTTAGTCTATGGTTATGCTACCAAGGCTATCAATCATGATGGTTCGAGTCATAACTTGATGAGTTGACCCAACTTGGGTCCAGGTTCGAGTCTAGCTTTTGAATCCGGTTGCTTGGATATAGGTCTAGCAATATCAAACAGAAAGTCAAGTTTGGTCTGGTCGGACCCAACATATTTGCTATAAAAAACTTACATTTTATATTATAAACAAAAATGCGAACACACATATTTAAATTATGTCTTGACTTGGACATGTCCCAACCATTGGGTTGTTTCGGGCTCAATTGACCCTGACCTGACCAAGCTGCGTCAGGGTCGGGTGTAGGTTCAACATTTTGTCAGGTTGAATCTCTCCTACCCAAATAGAACGCGCTACATACGATCCACAATTTTTTTTTTGTTTTTTTCTGGTTTGTTGTGGACAATGTTCAAAACTTGTATTAATAACGAAAAAAAAATTATAATAAGGAGCCTCTTTCTCTATCCCAATGAAACAAAGACAATAGGGAAAAATAATCCCACCCTTAACAAAGTGTCTGCAATTTTCTCTCTCTTCAAAGGTTCTGCACTGCTTGTTCCTCTGTTGTTCAGAGAAGAAGAGATTCAGACCCGATGAGAGCGAGGGGAGAGATAGAGAGGCGAATTCAATGTTGCTACCAAATGAAAACGGATGGTGGTTTGGAAGAGGCACTCTCTCGCTTTGAAGGTATGCTCAAGTCCTCACTCAAATCCTCTCTTTCAACCTGCAATCTCTTGTTGGGGTCCTTCGAGAGACCAGGCCAGGCTTCCTCTTTCTAGAAAACCATGGTGGCAGCTGGAATTTCACCTGATATTCAAATCTTGCACACATTGTTGAGGTGTTTTGCCAATTCCAGAGGACCCATTTTGAGCTTGGGGTGGTTATTGGTCTCATTCAGAAGCTTGGTTACCCTCTCTCTGTCTTCCTATTGAATATGGTGATGGAAGGACAGTGCAAGGAGGGGCAGTCGGGAGGGCGATGGAGCTCTTCTATGGCATGGAGAAGCACTAGCTTTCACCTGATTTCGTTATATTTAGCACTCTGATCAACGGGCTCTGCAAAGCCCATAAGGTGGAAGAGGCCATGGCTATGCTCAAAGTGATGGGAAAGAAAGGATGTCAACCAAAGGTGGTGACGTATACCGTACCCACGGATGGTCTTTGCAAAGGGGGAATGACAGAAGAGGCAATGCCCTTGTTAGAGGAGATGTATGGCAATGGCTTGAAGCCGGATGTCTTTACATTTAACATTTTGATCAGTGGACTTTGCAAAGCTGATAAGGTGGAAGAAGCCCTGGATTTGTACAAAGAAATGGGGAAGATAGGCTGTCAACCAGATGTTGTCACATATAGCACTCTCATTGATGGCCTTTGCAAGGGTGGGAGAATAGAGGAGGCAATGTATTTGTTAGTGGAGATGTATCACAATGGTTTGATACCAAATGTTGTCAAATATAGTACTCTTATCAATGTGCTATGCAAAATAAATAAGGTGGAAGAAGCCTTGACTTTACTGAGAGAAATTGGGAAGATGGGACGTCAACCAAATGTTGCCATGTATAACACACTCATTAATGGCTTTTGCAAGGGTAGGAGAATAGAGGATGCAATGTCTTTGTTGGGAGAGATGTATCGCAATGAATTGAACCCAAGTGTTGTTACATATAGCACTCTTATCAATGCTCTCTGCAAAATAAATAAGGTAGAAGAAGCCTTGGTTTTAATCAAAGAAATGGGGAAGATGGAATGTCAACCAAATGTTGTCACGTATAACACATTCATTGATGGCCTTTGCAAGGGTGGGAGAATAGAGAATGCAATGTCTTTGTTGGGATAGATGTATCACAATAGCTTGAACCTAGATGTTATCACATATGGCACTCTTATCAATGCGCTATGCAAAATAAATAAGGTAGACAAAGCCCTGGCTTTGTACAAAGAAATGGGAAAGATGGGATGTCAACCAGATGTTGTTACATATAACACTCTCATTAATGGTCTTTGCAAGGGTGGGAGAATAGAGGAGGCAATGTATTTGTTGGTGGAGATGTATCACCATGGCTTGAAACCAAATGTTGTCACATATAACACTCTTATCAATGTGCTATACAAAATAAATAAGGTGGAAGAAGCCTCGGCTTTATTCAGAGAAATGGGGAAGATGGGATGTCAACCAGATGTTGTCACCAATAGCACACTCATTGATGGCCTTTGCAAGGGTGGGAGAATCGAGGATGCAATGTCTTTGTTGGGAGAGATGCCTGACAGCTTGAACCCAAATGTTGTCACATATAACACTCTTATCAATGTGCTCTGCAATAAATAAGGTAGAAGAAGCATTGGCTTTAATTAAAGAAATGGGGAAGATGGGACGTCAACCAAATGTTGTCACGTATAGCACACTCATTGATGGCCTTTGCAAGGGTGGGAGAATAGAGGATGTACTGTCTTTGTTGGGAGAGATGTATAACAATGGCTTGAACCCAAATGTTATCACATATAGCACTCTTATCGATGCGCTATGACAAAATAAATAAGGTAGAAGAAACCTTGGCTTTACTAAGAGAAATGGGGAAGATGGGATGCCAACCAAATGTTGTCACATACAACACACTCACTGATGGCATTTGCATGGGTGGGAGAACAGAGGAAGCAATGTTGTTGTTGGAGGAGATGCATCACAATGGCTTGAAACCAAATGTTGTCACATATAGCACTTTTATCAATACGCTATGCAAAATAACTAAGGTGGAAGAAGCCTTGGATTTATTTAGAGAAATGGGTAAGATGGGATGTCAACCAAATGTTGTCATGTATAACACACTCATTGATGGCCTTTGCAAGGGTGGGAGAATCGAGGATGCAATGTCTTTGTTGGAAGAGATGTATTGCAATGGCTTGAACCCAAATGTTGTCACATATAACACTCTTATCAATGCGCTCTGTAAAATCAATAAGCTAGAAATGGAGAAGATAAGGTGTCAACCAAATGTTGTCATGTATACTACTCCGATAGATGGTCTTTGCCAGGATGGGAGAACAAAAGAGACATTGGCATTGTTTGAAGAGATGCACCACAATGGCCTAAATCCAAATGTTGTCATTTATATTGCCTTTATAAGTATGCTATGTAAAAGAAATAAGGTGAAAGTAAACTTGGCTTTGTATAAAGAAATGGAGAATAAATGATGTCAACCAGATGCCGTCACATATAATACATTGATAAAACATGAACTTACTGGGAGTGTGGTCCCTCGTGGGCGATACTAAGCAAATAACATTTGCTGATACTGAATTGAGCTTTACAAACTAGGCCAGTCGGTTGAGAAAACCTATGTTACTTGAGCATAAAAACTATCCGATAAGGATTCTAATAGGCCATACCTTAATGAGGTCGAAGTATGTCCGGATGAGTGAGCCAAGGGACTGTGTGACCCTTGTGTATGATGGTGGCTTTAAGAGACGGGGGCCAAAGCCTCATCCATGTATCATCACACGACATGCATATATTATAGTCGTTTTGGGAAAGCGAACTACCTTTCAGGGTAAAGCTTATACATGTGCAAGAGATACCCTTATGCACCATAGGATCTGTGGTCGCATCAGGTCCAGTTGACCTTGATATGTCTCTAGGGTAGAACCTAAAACCTACAAACTGGGATTACGACTCCTTGGCTCATCGACCAGACTTTGATGATGCACTAATGAGCCCTGCATGGACTGTGGGTCATGAGAAACACTAGATCGGTTTGATAAAGTAAGTCTGGACCGTAGTCCATAGTTGAAGGTGGAGTGCCATAGTGTTTATTGATTTAATTTCTAGATCATATGGATCATTTTCCAATCTAATGAATTTAATTATGTATGTTTTATGATATATATGATTTTAAAATTATTATTTGAATTTTTCTAGATCTCTAGATATTTTATTTATCAAATTTGGATTTATAAAAACAGAGATATTGGTTTTACATAGATTTAAATATTCAAATAAATTCTAAAATTCTTTTATTGAGTTTTAAAAATATTTAAACTTGCATGGGGGCCCATTGTGTAAATGGGCCTACCATGGCCTAGATAGTGGGCCCATGAGATCCTCTCATGGGTGGCACGCCCCGCCCATTTAGGGGCTTTCTATTTTGTTGTGATAAGAGACTTTGGCTGGAAGGCCAAGTTGTTGTGTGTTTTGGAAAGCTATTGGGTTGAGGAAGCTTTGAATGGATTTTTGAAAAGCATGAGAAGGCTAGTGCATTATTTTGCTATGCACAATATTATATTTGACATTATTTTATTTAATTTTTATTGATGGGAAGATGATTTAGGAAAAAGGGATAAAGGTTTTAGCAACTTCCATGATGTTGATGGCCCATATATAAAATGGAGGGCTTAAATCTCTCACCCCGCAAGTCACCTAAGATCAATGGTTCATATTCAATCTCAAAAGAAGATGCAAGCTATGGAAAACTCTAAGAAACTATAATCCTATTTTTGCACTATAAATAAGAGGATCCCTTGCCCATAAATCTCTACACCAAAATCTCTCTCCTCTCTCTCTTTGGTAACTATAAGAGGCACGTCCCAACCCTAAAAGTTATCTCTCTTTCTCTAGGTTGACTTAAGGGGCACCCCCCACCTAGATCATTTTATCTCTCTCTCTTCTTCCCTTGATGATTTAAAGGGTTGGGTAGTAGTAAGTATATGCTATCTCACTTAAACTAGGTCTTGTGGATTTGTACTTAAGTTTGAGTTTTGTGATCAAGAGGAGTTCATAGTTCTATTGGAAGGGCTTGGCGTAAACTTGCTTTTTTGGTTGAGATTGAAGGTTGATCGTTGACCCTGTGCCATTGGATGGTGGTGACTTGGTGTGGACTATAATAAGCCCGGTTGTGGCATTCTCTTTTTATTTCTTGCTATATTTAATTATATTATCTTTATAGTCCCAAGCATAAGGAGTTGTGGTTATTTTTTTTGATTAAATAAAATTAGTTCAGTGGCATCAAGTTTTAAGATCTTAAATTTGTTGGTTTTATTTTCTTTGAAGCAAGAGTTATTGTAATAAAACTACTTATAAGTGATCTTTGTCAAAAGAAAAAGGGTGAAAATATATATATATATATATATTCTCCGACAAGATCACACTAGTATTTCTTTCAAGGAGAGCAGAGGAAGTGATGTCGTTGTTGGAGGAAATGCATCACAATGGCTTGAACCCAGATGTGTTCACTTATGGCACTCTTATGAGTGTGTTATGCAAAAGAAACAAGGTGGAAGAAGCCTTGGAGTTGCAAAAAGAAATGGGGAAGAGAGGATGTCAACCGGATTTTGTCACTTATAACACACTCATCAATGGTCTTTATGACGATGGGAGAATAGAGGAAGCAATGTCTTTGTTGGCGGATACGTATCATAATGGCTTGAAGCCCGATGTTGTAATGTATGACACTCTTCTAAATGTGCCATGCAAAAGAAATTAGGTGCAAGATGCCTTGGCTCTAGAAATATCAATTGAGAAGATAGGGTATCACCTGAGTCTGTCATGTACAATATCCTGATAGATGGGCTTTTGCAAGGTGGGAGAACCAAGGAGGCAATGTCTTTGTTAGAGGAGATGTATCACAATGGCTTAAACCCAAATGTCATTACATTTTCGGACTTTGGTAGATGGCTTTGAAATACCAACATATTAGAAGATGTGAGGCATACTTGGAGGGAGTCAAACCAGGAAGTGGACGCTTTAGCTAAGGAGGCGGATGCCCAACTAGGCTCTTAGGTTCTTCGTTTTGGATCAGCTTCTTTTTTGGCTGTTGCGTTGATTCCACTTCTATGTAACTCTTAAAAAGATGACTTTTTGATTCTGTGTTTTTTCTCCCCCGGGTTTTCTTTTAGATGGAGCTTCCGCCTTGTGGATGGCCTATGTTTCTCGGTCGGTTGTACTTTCTTCTCCCATATATTAAAGATTAACATTATCAAAAAAAAAAAGAAGATGCCTTGGCATTGCACAAGGAAATGGGGAAGATAGGGTGTCTACCAGATGTCATCACGTTTATTTCCATGACAAATGATCTTTGTGAGGATGGGAGAACAGAAGAGACAATGGCATTGTTAGAATAGATTTTCTACAATGTACTCAACCTGAATGCACATATACCTCTCTTACAAGTATGCTATATGAAAGCCAATGGTGTTGAAGGAGCCTTAGGATTATGCCAAGAACTGAGGAAGTAAGGTTGTCGGCCTGTTATTATCACATTTAACTCTCTCATGGATGATCTTTGCAGGGACAAATAGAGGAGGCGGTGTCTTTGTTGGAAAAGATGAACTCTAATGGTTTAAACCCAAATGTTTCCACGACCCTTATTTTTTGGGTGAATCAGTGCGGAATTGGGCCCCTACCTGTTTTATTAGAAAAGAATGAAATATCGTACAATGGAGATCATTTTAAAACCCTATCAAGGGGGACACAAGCAACATCGTATGAAAGTAGGAGAAGCAAAAAATCTGTTACCTCCATACTGTAGCCTTTGAAAGGGTGATTACCATATATAGCTCTCTTATATATGTCCCATGCAAATCTAAAAATGTGTAACAATCCTTGATCTTTTCAAGGAACTGCGAAAGAGATGTTTCTATCCTATTATTATTACGTATAACAAGCTCATAGATGGGTTCTGCAAGATGCGTAAGGTGGATGAAGCAATGAGTGTCTACCATGAAATGATCAATTTGGAGTTCGAGCCAGATTCCGTTATTTATGGTATCTTAATAAAGGGGCTGAGCAAAACTTGTGAGGTTGAGGCTGCTAAAAGTCTTCTATATGGAATGCAAAAGTTTAGGTTGGTTCCCCTCAGGCTACTTGTATACATTGCTGGATTCATTCTGTAAAAATGGTGATTCAAAGGATGCTATAAGTTTGTTTTGACCAATGTTTTACAAGTTAGGCAAGTTGACTCGGACTTGCCTGTGTTACTCTTGGCTGGTTGCCTGGTCCTAGTACCTGCCAAACTTGGGGGTATGTGATATTATAATTGATTTAATCTTTGATTAAATCAGTTATAAATGACTTGTATTAGCTTTCTTTATGCTTTTTTGGTACTTTTTTTTCTTATTTTTTCTACATTTTCTCATTTATCTTAGAAAATGGTATTTAATCAGTTTTATTTTTTACTTTTGAAAACTTATTCTCGTCTTTTACATACATTTTCTTTTGTTTATTTATTTATTCATTTTTTCTGATTTTAACAAATTTTAGGGTTTCTAAAAACATTCTTTTTTTTGGGCTATTTTTTTTACGGCTCGGACTCAGACGAGTCAGCTTGGACTGGAATTATTAACTCAGCCAGGTCGGAGGCTGAGTTCCCTGGTTGAGCCGAGTAAAAAGACATCTGTTTCAAGTGATAAATGAAGGTTCTTGCAAACCTAATGTTTTCACCTTCAATATCCGTATTGATGGCTCCAGTAAAGCAGTAAGCATCAAGTAGCAAAGGAATTGCATACAGTAAGCATCAAGTAGCAAAGGAATTGCATAAAGATATGATCCAAAGAGGTATCATTCCTAATATGATAACCTATTCTGTAGTAATAGATATGTTTTGCAAGGCAGGACAAATGGATGAGCATAAGGATTGCTCGAGGGAATGATTGCAAAAGGTTATTCACTAGATGCTATGATATAGGGGGGGAGTTCTAAGTTCATGCCATTGATCCATCAAATAGCATGTAAAGGCAATGTACTTGATGAGCAATTCATAGTGACAATCTTGGATTGTCTTTTGTGTGATGGTAGGTTTTCAAAGTGTACAGAATCACTTTCAAAATTAACTTGAGCCAAAGGAAAACCGATATCTCATGCAATTACTTATTAAGGAAACTCCAGAAGTTGCATCCCAAATAGGAGGAGAAACTGTTCAAACATGGCTGACAGGTGCTATTTGTTAGCATTAATGAATTGCTATGGATTGTTTGTGGGTAACCAATTCCGTTGAAAGCTTCTAATCTCCTCTTGGTCTATATTTAAGTTATTATGATTTCAAATCTAGTTTTTGTCGATATAATTAAGATTTCTTTGCCCTCTATTTCTATAATTGTGTGCATAAATGGGGTCCACAAGATGAAAACATGCAAAACTATGGTGTATCAGCTTTTCAAAACTTCTTTGTTATTTTGATAATTCTACTTTTCAAAGGATTTTAAAGTAACCCAACAAGAAATCTTAGATGGGAGATACAGTTGGAAACACAGTAGCAAAACTTTCAAGATTGGCGAGCCTTACCCTTTTCAAGGGATATTAGTTTGCGGGGGAGTCCTTTGAAATGTTTGTTGTAGGTTGCCTAGAAAATAACCATGGACCTAATATTGTCAAACAGGGATGTCGGTGAGGACCTTTCTCCATCGAAAATCCTACTGTTTTTCTCAGCCATATGACCCAGATGGTAGCCGCCACTGATGCCCACAAAAGGATGCTAGCTTTGGGCCAGGGAAAAGGGTGGAGGGAGCTGAAGAGGAGGACCTTCTTTCAAGGTTGGCAAGCCTTGCCCTTTTCATGACAGGTCCGCATTACCCGGGCCTCCCTTTGGAGACCACCAAATCCAGGGCAGACCAAGCTGAACTTTGACGGTTGCTCCTTGGGCAACCCTGGCCCCTCAGGAATTGATGGCTTACTTAGGGACCATGGGTTCATATACTCGCCTCCTTCTCCAAAAGCATGAGACACTAGGACTCCCATACAGCAGAGGCCCTCACTCTCCTTGAAGGCATCAGATTGTTTAGTCCCTTGTGGAGCCTTTAGTTAGTGGTAGGGGGGACTCCAAGAATGTTATATGATGGGGCCTCTTGCTCCTCTCCACGCCCTTGGTCACTTGCCCACATTTTTTATGAAATTGCGCACATTTGCTGGGATATGGATGTCTCTTGGAAGCATCTGGTGCGAGACTAACCAAGAAGCTGACACTCTCGCTAAGGAGGCTACTTCAACAGCGCAGTTTGACCCGAGCCTCTCTACTTGGCTCTTACACTGGGAGGATTTTTCCTACCTAGATTTGATGCCCATTTAGGGGTTGCCTTTTTACTTTCGTATATAGCTCCCAACCTGTGGGAAGTTTATTTTTTTGTAGAGCTCCCAGCATGTGGGAAGCCTATTTTTTCAATCAATTGTACTTCTCTCTACTTAATAGAATAGAACTGTTAACACTTTCAAAAGAAAAAAAATTCTAGCATCTCTTGGTCAATTGATAGAGTCTTAATGATCCAACATTAACAACGTGTATAGTTCTTACTTCTTAGATGCAGCTAAGTCTGGTGTACCAGGTGATCTGAGCATTACATTCCTTCACCATTTGTTGTATATCTCTATGGCTACTTTTGATGAGCATACTCCTCATAATCTTCCTCAGTTACTGACTAACCCCTAGTTCTCTTACAAGAGAGCACATGGCTGCAAGGGCTTTCTGTGACAATTACATTCTCTCACAGGCAAATAGGGCATTACATTTTCTTGGCATTGTATTGGAGTTGTCACTACATATTACTTTTAAAAAGAATACTCGATATTAATTTCCAAACATAAAAAGATAATACTCCCTATTATTTTCCCTCAGATGCTTATCTGGTCTCATTTCTATTGGAGAGTGTGTTTCCAAATCCTTCCACTTTGATGGCTGTGGCTGTAAACAGAAAACCCTTCCTCTATGATGGCTCATATTGATTGAGTGCTGAAACTGGCAGTCCAAGGACCTCTTTTGCCAATCTTGTGCGTACAATATCTAGCTCTTTCACCATTGGCCTACTCGTAGTTGTTAAGATTGGAACGGACTGGTGGCTTGACGGGTTGGACCATCGATTAGTGCCTTGGCCAGTTTTGCCAAAGTAAAAACCATGTTTGGTAAAAACCTGTCAAAACTAGTGTTCGACCAACTTGAAAATTTGGGTTCAACTAGCTCACAAAGTTGGGCAAAGTCTTTATTTATATTCTATAGTTGAAAATCCATATTTATTTTTATATATTAGTATCCAGTCAAACTTGTTCAACCAGCTTTAAGAATGATTTTAATTGGACTAGTCCCCTCCTCGGTTTGGTCGCCAATCTGATCCTAATAACACTGCTTCTACTTGTTATCACAACATTAGAAATATGTCATAATAATTCGACATTATTTTGTGAAGAATATTTTTCAATGCTCTAATTTAAAATATTTTTTAAATAATTTTGTGAAATGATTTTCGAATAATTTTCTCCCCAAATGTCTTTTATGAAATAAGATTTTTATGAGTAAAGTTAATAGTTTTGTAAATTTGGACTAGGTAAGTCTTTTAAAAGAAAAGGACTAGATTTGCTAAATGCCATGGCATATACAGCTTGAGATGCCCATTTGTGTGCTCGGCCGGACATATATGTGATGCATGCACATCTAATTGGTATTTTGTGATACAGAAGAGAACCTAAAAGAGATGTGCCGAAATCCGCCAAGAAAAAGAAAAAGGAAAATAAAGATGGCTATGAATTTGGTAGAATAAAAGTTTGTTTGAAGACTCCAAAAAGATACCAAAAGAAAGAACTACAAATGAAGCTTGGGAGAAATTTATGTAGAGAAAAAGGAAATTTCGAAAACCAAAGTGAGATTTGGCTCAGTGCTTACGAGACTGATAACAAAGCTTATCTTTTCATCACCTCTCATTTAACCTGGGTTGGATGCAGTCGAGTGCCGAAAAATGGAGGAGTAGTGAAATTTGTGTACCAATGAGTTAAAGCATTGCACATAAATGTCGTAACTCATTAAAACAAAATCAGTTACAACACCCATGAAGAAATGAAGCAAAGGAGCAGCACCATTTTATGCGGAAGAAAAGGCAGTGCCGCATCGGCATCCTCAATTGGATGCAGGTAAAACAATGAAAATGAAATTTCAATTTTGAGATGCTCCCTGCTAGAGTGAATATTAGTATCTCCCAAGTGGATAGTTTGTTGTTTCCAATATGTCTGTCTGATTATCCTGAACTATCTTTGCCTCCAGATGTAAATTTGGTGTCCAAGATGGCTACAAATGGGGAACACAGGATATTGTCATTTGAAGGCTACATTATCAACATGCCATAGCAAATATGACAATGGTTTGCACTTGTATTATAGGTATGCTGTCTTCTTTATTGCTGCCAATGATAATGTTACGAGGACTTCTTATTTTGCAGACTGTTTCAGAGATGCATTAGTTACAGTAGTTGGTCCATATTGTTGGCTGACCTCTATGAAAACCTCATCAGTCCTTGCTTTGAACCAGATAAGAATATTGGCTTCATATACAATTTTTATTTTTCTCTTCAGTCTCTGGGGTTTCTCAATTGAGATTGTTTTGGCAAATGTTAGACTCACCAATAGAGTTTTCACTGGTAGCAGTTAATCTCTCTGTGAGTACTCAATGAAGAACACAGTTTATTAGGTTGGTTACAGATATCCCAGTTCTTTACATTTTTGTATTAAAAGTCAGGCATGCTAATTATTTTTTCCTTAATATAGGAGTCAAATGCAATGCAAGAGACATTTGTTGAAAGAAAGAGTTTCTTGTTTCCATCATAACCTGTTTTTTTTGCTTAGAATAAGATGAGCTCTTGCCTGATTTTTTTATGTTGAATAAAATGAGCTCTTGCAAATGCCATTCATGAGTTTGATCCTGATTTATTTTTATTTTGTTTCAATTGTTAACAGCCATCAAGTTGTTCCATAGGAAAAATTGGCATGTGGAATTCTTCAAATTTTGATGGAAATGACTGAATGCAGATTACCAGAAAAAAAGAATTTGTCATCTTCCAGTTTGCAGAAAATTGGTTTTATGAGATCACTCCAGAAAATAGAGGAGATATAGCAAGATAGGAGGCTTGAAAATGGATGGGGAAGAATGGCAGGGCATTAAATCTTCCAACTTAAGCTTCAGGCCATAGGTATTGTATCTAACCCATTCATTACAATAAGTTCCAAATGGGATTCAGGTCGCAACTGAATGCTTGAAGGTAAAAATATGAGAAATGAGAGCTAAGAAAGCAAGTACAAACATGGTTTGATGACTTTCACAGGATGTTCACAAGGAACATAGGTACATTAGATGCAAATCAAGACATAATTGTTGAATGAAATTATGGTTTCACCCTATTGTTGATGTAAAGAGATTCAGAAAGTGTTTTCTTTTATTTTCTTTTTTGGCTTAAGCAGATTCTCGGAGTGAAAGAAGCTGACGGTTTAAAATATCTGGGAGTCAGTCACAGTGATTATCGAGTCCGCGGCGAGTCTCATAGAACTCAAAAGAGTTTCACGACTCAAAATAACTCGTCTAAATTTTTATCAAATTCATCAGTGAACACCCTAGTACCAAACCGATTGAATCTTAAATATGGTTGGCACATAGAGTGCTGATATGTACTCTGGATTTGCCACAAGGTGGGTGGGGGATCAACACTTTGTAAGCATGAATCACATCCGAAATGTGGGGTGGCGCTCCAAGTGCCAAGGTTATTCTGACCTAGAGGCAATTTTGGAAAAATAGAAAAAAAGGGGAAAAAAGAGACGTGCGGAAAATGTAAAAACTAAGTCATAAATTTTAAATGAGATATTTACAAATTTCCTTTTATTTTTACCAAAATATATATATCAAATATAGCAAAAACTAGATTAATAGAATATGGTTATGGTGTCAACCCTAAATAATCAAAAGCGTGCCTCCAAATTTAGTTGATTGATGTAGTTTTAGTATGGGAATTTTTTATAGTGGGCGAAAATATATTTTCAGCCCTAATTGGTGTGTATCTATAAATGCTTTAAGTCTTAAAAATCGACAGTCTAGATATTACATTAAAAGATGCACCGGTTTTAGTAATTGAAAATTTCACTTATTTGGAACCATATATTTAGACGTCAAGATGATCAATTCTACATTGGAGGGTTGATGCCTTATACAAAATACCACGAAAAAGAAATGCCCGATTCTTTCTCTTTAAAAAAAACCCTAAATACCAAGAAAATAGTTTATATAAGGTGTCACCTAAAAAATTCAACTCGTAAGGTTGTTCTAGCATTAAAAAAAAAAAAAACTCTATAATTAATCATCTCAACCTTAAAATGTATGTATCGATTATGAAAAAGATATTTTTAAGTTTTAAAATAAGTGTACCTTATAATATAATAAAGGTGTGGTTTGTATAGAGCCGAGGCTCTATACAATTGAATTAGAGCCCATGTTTTCAATTAAGAAATTTTTTATGATAGCCTTAAAATATATTATCTAGACCGTCTATTTTCTAAATTTTTTAGATCTGTCCTATTTATATTTAGATGTACACCTGATTGATTGTTTGATGGTGACACCTTATACAAACGCACCAAAATACTAAAGCTCGAACTCCATTGTCTGGAGGCGGACCATAACCATAAAAGCCGGTTCAGGAATTCTCTCAGTTAAGTTTGAACATCCCACTGATTCCCTCTCCCCATGCTCCTCGCGTGCAAAGCCCAAAACTCAAAACAGAGAAGATAATAGTTTCTCTCTCTACTCTGGTGAACCCTCCCTCTCTTTCTCTCTAAGCCCAAGCCCAAGCCCCAGCCCAAGCCCTCTCTCTCTAAGCCCAAGCCATCTTATTTGTATTCACAATAGTGCTATATGCGACAATATTTGGTTTCCACCCATTGTGAAACATCTCCTCCAAATAGTATCAAAAAATGTGGTTTCAATAATGAAAATCTTTGTGATAGCCTTAAAATATATTTTTATCTTTAATTATAAAATTTAAAGCTTAAAAAATTGTGTCGATCGAACAAATCTATGAATACTTGAAAATCTTGAAAATTGACGGTCCAAAATGCATTACAAGATGCACTATTTTCAAAACTTGAAATCCATTTTTTTTCTCATGTCCATGCATCTTGATGATCAATTTGAAGATATTTGAGCATCAAAACAACCTCTTATTATGAAATTTTTGAGGTGGGCTCTAATTTGATTGTTTAGAGCCTCAGCTCTATATAAACTTTTTACTGCATTAAAAGATCCACCGTTTTTAGCAATCGAAAATTTCATTTATTTAGAACCATGTATTTAGACGTGAAGATGACCAATTGGAAGGTTTTCTAGCATTGAAACGACTCTTTTTTATGGGTTTTTGAGTAGTCTTGTTTCTAAAGTGGAATACCACAAAAAAAAAAAAAGGGGAAGCCCAACTTGAAAAAAAAAAAAAACCCCCTAAATGCTGAAGAAAAATATATATAAGGTGTCACTTCAAAATTCCAACCTATATTGCTTTTTCTGAATGACTGGTAAAATTTCTGTAAGACTCCAAGGACATGTTTGTTTGGTGGAAGGATCAGCTTGAGTAATGGAAGATGCGCTGCAAATTTTTTTCCCAATTTTGGAACAACCATTAAAAATGGGAGAAGAAATGGAATCCACCTTTTCTATGCCCTTTGGAAGGTTTAGCTTCCAAACAAACAAACCCCAAATCTAGGAGATTTGTGAACTTTTCTTCCTAGCAATTAACCTTAAAAAGAAAATACTAAATTCAAATTACATTATGCTTGTACTAGAGAAAATTAACATCTCAAGATTGAATAGAAACCATCAAATTCTTGAAAGATGATATCCAAGTGTCGATGAACAAAATTCAAAATCAACTTTAAAATAAATAAATAAACAAACAAGACACCAAGTTCTGCTAAGGTGGATCGCAAAATTTCAAATCGAAAAAATCCTCCGAAGTAACGCTTTCACCCTAGAGTGTAAGTTACAGCTCCCAAGAGAGCATGGTATACACACTCCTAATAAACTGGTTTGTTTGCACCATCGTCGTCAAAACCTTTTTTCAACTAATTAGAATTGACTTCACAAATCCTAGTCCGACATTTTACTCTATTAAAGGTCGTACTTTTAGGATGCGTTTATTTTTCTTAAATATATTGTTTGGAAAGTTCAATGTTTTGTTCTGAAAAGTTTAAATAAGTTCTAAGTACTGTGCTTGATAACCTGCTGAAATATTAAGAAAGTTATAAGTACTGTGTTTGATAACATGTACATAGTAGCCATATAAATAAAAATATATAACATATAATATAGTATAATATAATATATTTTATTAATGTATATTTATATCATATATAACATATAATATAATATTTATTATAATGCAATTTAAGATATTTATATATTATATATAGTATAATATAAGATATTTGTATCTTATGCATATAATATTATATTAATATTTATTACATATAATATAAATATAT